TCCAGGATAAAAGAATTTTCTTCAGAGGAGGACATGCATCCTCCAAGAAAGGCTAATCTTTTCTTATTTTTATTTTGTTCTGTGAAAATGGGAGCAAAATAAATCCTACATTTTGTGGCAGATTTCCCCTCTGTTGGACCTTGACCCGTCTGAAGATGCAGCCTCGCCTCAGCAGCAGCAGCCAGCAGTGTCACATTAACTCAWCATCTTTGCTCCAACCTTGAGGGCCTCGGACTGCCCGTGTCCCTGCCCAGTCATTCAACCAGGACCACCCCCACATCCCCAGCACAGATCYACACCCCTTCTCCTCTCCTGCCCTGAGCTACCCACAATGCACCCTGTCCATCATGCACGCTGATGAAGGCTCACTATCATCATCATCATCAGCTGCAGACCGTTGCGGCCCGGCTGGCTGCTGCAGTGCTGACGAAGCTCAGACTCAAGCTGCTGGTCCTGCAGACTCTCCCAGTCAGCTCTACATACGTCACATGTTGATGACATCACATGTACGACCTCCCACAGACTGCAGCATCTTCTTCATGGTGCAAGACTGAGAAATAACGTCCTTTCTTCTTCGAACACCAACATTTACARCTGTTTGTTGTGTTCTAAGCCACAACTTTGCTGCAGGTTATGATCACAGATTCAGGGGCGGAGCAAGACATTTTTTCATTGGACGGCCAACATGTGGTTTTACAGGGGCACAAACAAATAAAACTACTCTGGATGTGAAAATAAAAAATGAAGCCAACTTTAAACGACTCTAAGCTGTTTTAAAAACATTGATCTGAAATTTTGTGTGAGATCAGAATGATCAATGAAATCATACAGATTATTAATTGTCACAACTAAGATAACTGCTAATGATAATGTTCATTTCACAAAGGTTTATCATTTAACTAGTTTTTAAACACACAGCTCAGAACTAGTCTTATAGTAGCCAAAAACAATGGCTGCCAAAACTTATTTCAAATGGCAACAACTCAGTAATTTTTAGAAAAAATTGCTAAAATTTGGTGTGGTGGTAGACCGGAGCAACCCCTGTGATGCTCTGAAAGCTACCCCAGCTAACAAAAAAAGGTTTTTATCAAGTGTCCATCTTTGAAATGTCACATGCAAACTCCTCCTCACCTGTCAATCATTTGGTGGCGGCACCTGGGGCAGTAATGAAGTGCCTGGCCATGCCTCTGGCTCCGCCCCTGCACAGATTGTGCTCTTTATGGCCTCACCTCTGAAATATTTCATGAATTAATGAGTGGATTTTACTGAAACAGACAAATTAATCAATGAATGTAGATCTTCCACCCAAGTTAACGGTTGCCACAGCTATACCCAGTGAGCTTTAGATAGTGAGAGTAAATTTGGTGCATTAGTTGCATTAGTAAACATACTCTGAATGTGACGCTGCATAATTTCAAGGTTTGAGCAGAACGACCCTAACCCTAACCACTCCATCATCTCAAACAAGATGGTTTGGATGTGTGRCCTGACAGGCAGCTGGTGCTTTGCTTCAACGAGTCTCAAGTCTGTGATTCAAACACTGAACGTCGTTCCAAGGCTGCTCTGAACAAGGCTTWATTTGCACCATGGTATCATTGTAATATTTATGCTACATGTTGTTCTTCTTGTGTGAGAAAGAAGATTTGTAGCCTGGAGGTTTCCTCTGTTAATTAATTATGGGAACAACTCAGAAAAGGCAAAGTAAAAGTCATTATTCTGCTCCGTGTTTGAGTTCCTCATCCTGTGTGAGCGCTCCAAAAGGAAACTCCAGATGTTTTTTATGGGTTTTTTTGAGAATTTGAGCCAAATAAATAACAAAAAACTGGTTGTTTGAGCCAAAAACACATTGAGAGCTTTAATCCTGATCCTGTTAGTAATAAAAACAGTGAACAGTTCCACTTCCTGTGGAGAGACACAGAGCAGCATCTTTTGTCAAACATGACTGATTCACGTTGTGTGTGTGTGTGTGTGTGTGTGTGTGTGTGTGTGTGTGTGTGTGTGTGTGTGTGTGTGTGTGTGTGTGTGTGTGTGTGTGTGNAAATAAATAAATAAACTGAGTCAGAAACAGGAAAGAAAGCATTAATGGAAGTGGTCATTTTTCAAAATAAAATACATTGCAAACCTAAATAAATCAAATTATTTACAGACTTTGAATGATTTTTCCTAAAAGGAGCTGACAGTAAAAACTGATCTGGTTCTGGTTCTGAGACCCCTGTTTGCAGACCCCTGCACTTTAAATCAATTGTAACTCTGCAAACAAAAAGGAAGTTTAATCTTTAAAACTACATTTTTTAAGCAAACAGAAGTTAAACTTTGCACCAAAGAGTAAAGTTAGTTYAGGACGTTTTATTTTAAAAAATGAACTGATTTATAAACAAGTWATTCATGAGCTTATAAAGACTTTATAAAGCATTAACAAGCATTTATAAATCACAGATCATTCAGGCTCACTAACACTTATTAATTTAAAGTTGATTCATTTATCAGGRAACATGGGCATTTTTAAAATGAAGTTTTGGTAAATAAAGTTATTTTGTCTAATATATTTACCTGGAGCAGCTGATCCTGTCAAACGATGAGCCTGCTTCAGTTAAAACAATGTTTTATAAAAAATTAATGCTTCATTTTCGAACTGTTTAATGTCTTTAATTAAGGCAATAATAAATGGTTTTTAAACAGGGACTTGTTATTAAAGGCTGTATGTTTGATAAAGACTGATTTTAAACACCTGAAGGCTTCAAATAAAGTTTCACTTTGTAAATTGTTTAATCAGTAAAATCTTATTTTGTCTTTAAATATTGATTAATTGTGTTTTTGTGTTGTTCGGTCTGACTGCAGACATGAAAACATGTTTAAAGGTTGGAAATAGTTGAAATCTCCCTTTAATTCTCCCTGATTTCTTTCTTCTTTACTCTTTTTTATTTCATTTGTTTACAGCCAACCTGTCCTCCTCCTCCTCCTCCTCCTCCTCCTCCTCAGCAGCTTCCTGCCTTTTGTCGCTCGCGGACACGCGGGTGCTGAGCTCCGCACCTGCGTCACGCAGCGTTCCGCTCTGCGGGTCACAGAGAGCCTGCGGGACTCCGCTCCTCCTCCTCCTCCTCCTCCTCCTCCTCCTGTCTCACGTCTCTCCTTTGCGCTTTTCCCGCAGTGTCACGCGCTCACTCGTCATTAGCGCAGTTTTCAGTTGATTCCCGCGGCCTGAAGCGAGGCCCGCGAGGCACGAGCCCTGACTCCTCCCACTCCGTGTGCCTCCCTCTGCGCGAGGGCCTCCCCAACCAGAACATCCAACCAGCCTAATTATTATTATT